CTGGCCTCCAGGGCTGTGGGACAACACATTTCTGTTGTTTAAGCCACTGGCTGTGTTGACGGCAGCCCTGAGAAATGGATACAAGGTGAAACCAGGCAGCAAACAGCTTCCCCATTTAAGAAAGGCTGACAAGACCTGGAAAATATGCCGCATGACACAAACCGGACTGAATTCCTCTCCAGGAGTTTACAAGTCTCATACCTCCACCCAAAAAGGTCACCTCTGATGTGTTTTTAAATTATGTCTATGAGAAAGAGGCTTAGCCTTACAAGAGAATACACCAGGGCTCCTTCGTCAACAGGGAGACTTGGATTTTAAATACTATCCCCTCCCCTTCTTTTTTTGCATGTGTGTAGTAGGGGAGGGAGGGTTGGGCATGTGTAAAAACTTACTAGAAATGACTAAAAGCTCCTTGGAAAAAAAAATACCTTGGCAGACATGTCGATTATTGACCTTCATGAGAGCTGTTCTCTCAACAGGCAAGAAATTCAAGCTCCTGTCTGTGCAGGTCACATCTGGTTCCTCAAGATTCACGGGGTGTGTGCACTTCTTTGGCTGAAGGCTGAAGTCATTAATAACTGCTACATAAAGAATCTCGTCAATTTAATCTCTCATGAAGCCAGCCATTTTGAACTGGCTGCTTTGATTTTTTTTTTTTTAATGGAATGTCCAGTGCTTCCCTATTTCAATGGAAAACATCAATTGGAAACAAATCTTTCATAAAATTAAACACACACCCACAAAGTAAACTCTGAAGGCCTTGATCACGTCTGAGAGGCATATCTCAAGGTTTTGTCACAAAGCTCTTTCAACCTCATTTTCCATCCCTCCACCTCCACCCACTTTACTCAGGGCACCAAAAATTGGCATTTACAAAGAAATTCCGGGAGCCTGAGCGTTTTATTAGCAAAGGGAAATCCCAGCTTTCTTGGCCCCATTTCTTATGACGACAGCTCCGATCTCCATGTGGAACCACGTACTAGTTGGTGCAAACATTTAAAAAGGTAAAGAAATCACTCTCAAACTGTAGTCACAAAAGATATATATAGTGATAGTTTAGAACTCTGTGCTCATTTTATAAGCACCACCGTCAAGCATGTCTGTTTTTAAAATGAGAATGAAATATTTATTGTGTTGTTGTTAAAAGACGCGGGGCCGTGCTGTGGGCACTCTCCTGGCTCTTGAAGTATCAATATGACAACGTCAAGGGCAGTATTTTGAGAGTCGCCCACTGTGCTACACAGCTGGCTCCTCGGCCTTACCCTCCCCTCCCCTCCCAAACACCCTTCCGAATCCTACCCAGCCTCCACCTGGAGGAAGCCTCTGTGCGCAAAGCTCCCCCAAACCTCTCCGTTTCCAGTTACTTGCCCGTCTCTGAAAATCTACAGCGATGGCCAACCCAACCCCACAACTGAACAACGGGTTTATATCACCTCCAAGGTCCCTTTAATACCTATAATTCTGTATGATTTGTAGTTTTGCCTTAGTTATTTCTCTACGTGTAATTTTTCTCCTCCCACCTCAGTTTACGAGCTTCTTCAAGACAAGAGCCACACTTCACATTTCTCCCATATCTAGCCCAAGTTTAAGGGTGCCCAAAATAAAGTTATGAAGGGGAACTGACAAATGTCACCCACAGTAGAAGGACGAGCGTTTGGCTGCACAGCTCTTTGGCCTCGGGGGGTTATCTGCAGGCTCCCAAATGTGTTCGGGGATTAAAGCAACTAGACAGTGCCATTATCTAACCACAGTCCACAGAATCAGGCTCATTCCCCTGCTACCCTCACCTAAGCCTGACCTCGATGGGGCGGCCATCTGCGTCGACTGTTCCGGAAAGGGCACTGGGAGAAACCTCTACCTGCATGACGGTCCTGGAGTAGCAGAGTGCCCTGAAGCCCATCCACGGTGGGGGCTCCTTTGGGCCACTTTAGTCCTGTTTCACTCCTGGGTTTTGCTCTCAATGGCCAGAGGCCTATCAGGCTGCAGACCTCCCAGACACAGGCGGCTGAAACGCGATCGCGCCCGCGGGTCACCTGCCTTCTCTCTCTGAGAGCATGAACATGATCTGCGGTCCCTTCTTCCTACCCCCCAGAAGCACAAAGAAGCCTTTCTTCCAGCCTCTCGGTTCAGCCTCGCACAAAGACAGGCAGGAAAATGTGAGGGCTGGTGGTTTACACTCATTCTTTGAGAGAGACCACTCACTTTGGGTCAAAAAGTTTATCATTTGGCTCATGTAACTGAATATAAAAAGTTGACAATTTATTTTCCTAGTAACAGGAATATTCAAATCAAAAAGCGCATGTTGAAAAGCAAGCCGCCTTCCTCGACCCACTCCCAGCTCTCCGTTTCCGTCCTCAGAGGCAGCAGCTGTTACCAGATTATTCTACCCTCCAGACTATATTATGCACTTTGCCAATCCCGCTGTTTAAAAATTTATTTCAGAGGGAGAAGGAGTGAGAGGGAGGGAGGGGAGGCGGGGAGAGAAAGAAAGGAGAGAAAGAGAGGAGAAAGAGATGGGGGGGGGGGAGAGAGAGAGAGATCAATTTGTTGTTCCACTTATTGATGAATTCATTGATTGATTCTTATATGTGCCCTGACTGGGAATCAAACCCGCAACCTTGGCATATCGGGATGACACGCTAACCAACTGAGCTACCCAGCTAGGGCCAGATCCCACTTTTTATCATGAGTTAAGAGAAAGGAATAAATTATTTACTGAGAATCCCTGACTGCCAGGTCCTAAGATGTGTGTTTTACCTATATGAGCACATTTAACCTTCACAACAACTTTGTAAAGCTAGTGTTTTCTCCATTTTTCAGGGGACAACCTGGAGGTTCAGGAAAGGTAAGAGATTTGCCCGAGGCCCCACACCTAGGTCCAAAGTCACTTTTCCAAAATGCCACCTGTACCATCCTGTTTCATAAAATCAAGTCTCCAGCCAAATTTTCTCTTTCAGGAAACCTGGGCTCCAGAAACAGGCCACATTGGCATAAAAACTGGTTGGCTGTACAACTTAGAATCCTAAGAAGCCAGACAAGTTACTGCACTCCCTAGGTCTCAGTTTCTTCACCTGCAAAATGAGCCTCATGCGGAAACCGACCAAATAAGGTTTTGGCAAGATTAAATGGTTTTACCAAATACTCTGCAATGGTTACTCTTATCGCATGGCTCAGGAACAAACTGGGGATTGAAATGGTTTTCTGTCTTGTTTTTATCCTGCTCATTGAGCTGGACAACGGTGTGGTTCTGGGAAGCAATGCGGGATAAACCGGGGGAGCCAGCTGATATTTTCTGGCCCCATTACACTGATTTCCTTTGCTCCCTCCCCAAGGTTTGCTCCACGAACCTTTCTTCTCTCAGCACAGACTGCCAAATGCACAACCTTCCTGCTGCCAAATCCTAGAAGCTTTTCATAGTATTATTACTGTGCTTTTAATGTATCATGGAAATATTTCCGTTTTTATTTAAAAACGAGAATCCAGCAACACCCTCCCTGTTGTTACAGTTTGCAATTTTTTAACCCAAAAGTTTATGTGCCTAGCATTTCCTCCCTGCCCCTGTTCATGTTATCATGGAACTTTAGACTGATTAAATTTTGCTAAAATAATCTCAGCCTGTATGAATGGAAGCTAACCAAACTCCCTTGGAGTGGGAAAGACATTTGTTGACCTGGTCACACATTTTTCAAACCCATATCTGCTCCTCTGAGCCCCATTTTCCATTTAACTCCCTCTTCCTCCTCAGCAGAAAGTCAAAGGAAACCTGCAGGCGCTGGTACCACTGGCTGGCCGCCGAGGAGTTTGCAGGGAGTCTCTTGGGGGAGTTGCAGGGGCGAGGGGCGGAGCAGTCAGGACACTGAAGCTGTCACCTGCCACAGGCAGGCTGGATGACCCTGGCCAAGTCACTTCCCATTCCAAAGGCAGGCTAGCTCATCTCAAGAATGAGAAGATGGGACCAGCTCTTTCCTGAAAAACCTTCCTAGCTCTAACTTTCGTTCGGCCCGACAAGATTCTGCAATCATCGCATAAGCATCTTCTCTGGTCTGGGTCTTATCAAAAGGGCAGTAAGTCACTGTCATGATGCAACCTCAGGAGATAAGCTTCAGCCAAAAGGAGGTGTGTGTGCTCGGTTGGCCATAAAAGATGCAGTCGCTATGTACCGTACAAATGTGGTTGTGCCAAGCTGTCACATAACTCACAGCAAAGCAATAAAACCCAGGGTCACCTTTAATTACCTAATGTTAAACGACAGCCAAGCAAGCCCATTAGGAGAATGATGTATCTGGAATTCCATCAAGTACCCTTCCATGAACTTCTCCCATTCAACGATTCTGCTGGAAGCATCTGGAATGCAGCTAGTATGAGGCTGGAATCTCAGCAGGGTTTATGAGGTGACCTTTTGTTAAATAGCATTGTGTATAATCCCGCTGCTATGCTATTTTTCTCCATTTTCTCCTCTGGGAGGCTTTGTTTCACAATGCTCACATCATAGCTGGTTCCTCCAATCCAGTCTTTTATGATGAAGAACAAATGAGTAAGAACCCCAGGAATTCAGGGGGAGAAAAGGTACAGGCAGCAAGAGATACTGTTTTGCCATAAAAGCCGTCACAGAGAGCTGAACAGTTTCCTAAGGCTAAACCATGAACCACGCTCAGACGCCATTCTTTAACCATCCTCATGAGACTGGCTTCTCTTGAAAAGAAGTCCAGATTTGGGGGACTTTAGAAATGCTGAGCTTTTTACTGGTTCCTTTCTTTAAGGTGTGTAATTTGTTCCTTTCTCTACAAGGCACAGACCCTAGGAATCGCTCAATGTCCCTTCTGAAAGCTGTATACACAAATAGCAAGGAGCCTAGAGCTGGCCATTCACAAAAGCCACCCTAAGCAGAGGCCCAGAAGAACCCAGGGCCTTATCAAGGTGGGGGTGTGGGGGCTGCTTCTGCAGCTCGGGGAGCCGGGCGGGGGCCGCCAGATGGTGCGTCACCATCCCCGAGGACTTACGTCACTCTTCCTGAACTTCGCTTTCAAGCTCTTCATGGTCAGTCCATTCAGCCTTCCAAAGCTCTAGACGTGACTGCTCAACACCTACGCAGAGAAGGACAGAAAGAAATCAGGTGTCAAGGCTTCCAAATAAACACCACAGACATTCCTTCTGAAGGGATTACAACTCTGGGCCCCGGGCAGGAGGCGGGGCTTGAGTTAAGAAGGGGGTCGGAGTGATGAGCTAAGGCATGGCAAGGAGCCTGTTCTTTCCACTCAGGATATGTACTACTTCCTAGAACCTTCTAACATTTTCAAGTTAACCAGACCTTACCATCTTACCTCGATTTCCCCAACATTAAGAAGACCACAAGTTTAAATAACTACTATACTGTCATTATACAAAATACAGTATCGGTATGCTAAACTAATTCCTAGATACATCATTTGTGTGACAATTGTACCGCCCACCTCCTTGGGAAGAGTCACCAGTCAGTGAAGGATGATAAGGACAACAGTTCATACCCCAGATGCCATGCATTCCCTGTTTATTTTTTCTCTGTGTGTTTTTCCCCCTCGAAACACACAGGGCAGTTAGCAAAAAATGCCAGAAACAACAAAACCTCCCTCAGCAAATACCTCATTCCTCAGGAGGCCACTTTAAACAATGAAAGACTCCCCAGGTCCTTGTGGGATCCAGCCATTCGCAGCTGGAGCTGAAAGTCTTAAGAAACCATCTTATTTAGGAGGGGTCTGTGGTCCCCAGTAAAGCGAATGTCATTTTCTTAAGTATATATGTACTTTTTTCAGAGAAGAAAGTTCCTAGTCTTCATTTGACTCTGCGAGGGGGCTGTCACCCTTCCAAAGTTAACACAATTGGCGGAGCATGAGACCCTCGTTTTTCCAGAAGTAGAGCCTCCGAGATGTCAGGAAACTCGTCTGCAGCAGTAAAGCCTGAGCATGCTGGAATTCAGGACCAGACCCCCACATCTGATCACTGGGAGCTTTTCCTGCTGCCCTCTAGCCTAAAATTAAAACCAAAAGGCAGAATCCCAATGCTAAAATATGGCATAAACTTAATCTTCATCCTTAAACATGGAAAACACACAAAGTGTGCACCTTTGCATTTAGGTCAAAAAGGCAAGGAACCCTATGTGCAAGTTCCCATTGGTGATCATAAGCGGTCTCTAAATGTCACTTCAAACCTCAACTGACTGGAAGTGAGAACAAGTCAACTTCAACAGTACTAGCCATTTGAGAACTGAGAAATAGCGTTCAAATGTTTATCACAGCTGACCATTCTTTTCCTAAAGCCGTTCGTGATCATCACTCATACCTCCACCATCTTATTATTCTGGACTAAACCGATCAGAGAAGACAGAGAGGGGGCAACCCAATCACCTACACAGCTGTCCTCATCTGTCCTCCTGTCCTTCTCGCTGCCTGCAGAAGTCCAGCAACTTGCTAGCTTCTCATGTGTCTACTTTTATCATTGCTGCTACCATTAAGCAAGGTCCTTGGATGAATGGTACAAAAGTTCAGTCACCATAAAGCATTTTAATGACAGCAATCAGGAGGTCACACCGTTACTTTAGCCTCCCTGTGGTCCCCTTCAATCTACACAACTAACTAGGTAGAAGTGACAAAATGCATGTTGCCTTGGAAACTGTACATACTGTAATTACATCTTGGTAATTGCCAAGTATTTAACCACAGAGAAGGTTGGGGCAGTACCTGAACAGCAAAGTGCAAATTCTGGACCAGTGTTTCTCAAAGTTGGCCCCTAGTTCATCTGAATCAGAAGGACCTGGGGACAATTTGCTGAATGCAAAACCCTGGCCCACATACCACTGAAATTCAATCTCAGGGAGCAGGGCCCAGGAATCTATTTGGTTCACTCTTTTGCACACTGATGTTTGAGAACCTAGAGCTGAGGTATATAAACAGGGAAAACATTTGTCCAAGTTGCACTGACTTATAAGCAGCCTGTTTTCATCCCCAAACAAAGCACCTTCTGATGAATCCAAATGGCAGTACTGGTAATCATTCCCAAGCTGCCAATGGCACATGGTTCTTCACCAACTGTAGCCAGAAAATGGAAATCATCCTTGGAGTTCATTCCTTCTACCCTCTGAGCGAAGTGCTAACAACCAAGGAAAGAGGCCAAATCCATGCAACAGCAAAGGGAAGCCAAGGCTTGGATAATCCACAAGCCACGAAGCCCGGGAGTCTCCAACCTCCCTCCCTCCCCATCTGTGGACACCTTTGCATTACTGCCTAAGATCTGCCTCCTCTCTCCCACCCCCCTCCCCAGCCAGAGCTCTGCCCCCCACCCTGGTCAGTGGAAACACTGCCTACCCTGAAACCAGTCCCTGGTGCCAAAAAGGTCGGTGGCCGCTGGTGTAGCCCTCCACGGCAGAATCCACCCAAAGCACTCCTTCAGTCACGGCAGAGAAGCCTTCTGTTTGAGGTCCTGGAGGGTTTTCAGAGGTGTTGCACTCGTTTTGTATGTGTTTATCTTTGGCATTTTTTTTTTTTTTAGCATGCCAGTAAGAAGTATGCAAACTCTAATTTGAATATTAAATAAATAAAGCAACTAACTCCAAAAATTCCCAGGGGAAGGGATTAGCTATGAAAGGAATCTTCCTGGAACCATGGTTCTGGGTGTGTGATAGCTGGGTGGTCTACAAACTGCAGGATGAGAGACAGGGGTCAAGGGTAAACAAGTCCTGCAAACCTACAGGAGAGTAGCTTCAGCATCCAAAAGGGTGGCTGGGGGTAATTAAGGTGAGTAATAGATCGCTGCTTTCCCGGTATTTGTAAAACAATCTAACACATGGAGGCCATGACTCGGGGAAAGTAACCTGCCCAGAAATGACGCTGGACTCCTTCTGCCTCAGCGCCTCAGCACCTCCGCTTCCCTGAGAGGACCCACAAGGGACTCCGGGATTTGCTGGCCTCGCTGGGGCAGCCGGGATCTCACAGCCCCGGTTTCCAAATCCGAGCTTCCAAAGCCCAAACTGGGTTACAGGCTATCTTGAGTATAGTGACATCCAGTCACTTAGCAAGCCTACACGAAGAGCAGGCCTTGGAAATGTCACTTAATCAAGACACTTCGTTCCCAAGAGCTGCAGTGAGGCTGAATTAACTGCACAGCAGCCTGATATGGATAGTGCAAAAAGAGGATGAAATGTTACGTGGATGTGGGAAAAGTTGTTTGAACCAAGTTCTTTCATTTCAAGCAGAATAAAGCACATCTACCCACTGAGCAGGAATATTACACAGTTTACGTCCTGCTCAGGCCACAGGAAGTCACTGAAACATGGCTCCCATCACTGGTCACCAGTCACCACGGGACTCTGGGTCCATCAGTGAGGATGTAACAGTGCAGGGTTACCTTCCCATCTGAAAGACCGGGTCCAACAAACAGGGTTTATTTATTAATCCATCTCCACTTTACAAGGAATGGAACTCTCAATCAAAGCTTAACATGAGCTATCCTTACCTGATATAATTCCACACTGAGTCAAAAGCCTTGATATAAGCCTATAGAGCTTTATCATGAACTAATGAGTTACACTCCTTTGAGTGCTAAAAAATCACTTATAATGGATATAGAGCTTCGTTTTGGGGCAATGAAAGTGTCCTAAATTTATTGTCACGATGGCTGCTCAACTTGTGACCATACCAAAACCATCAACGCTACACTTCAAGTAGGCGAACTGAACAGGATGTGAGTTGTATCTCAAGAAAGCTGTTTTTATTTTTATTTTTTTAATAGTGGCTTAATAAATCTCTATTACCTTCTCCAATCCTTAGAGTTAGAAAAATTCCAGGTTACAAGCCTCTGGATTGATTGGAAAAGAACTTCATTGGGACAAAGATGAAGAAATAATGTCCTTCGCACTGAAATGTGGTTGCTTCTCGCTTTTCTTTTTTTACCTATTTCTATGCCCCACCCCACCCCTGATTGAAGTGGTTAGGAAAAAAAGGGCCTCTCTTGCATATTCAGGCTACTCTGCCGGCCCACCCACACCCCCACAGACGGCCCAAGGGCTGTTTTGTAAGGCAAGGCTGCCAATTATGTCCGCAATGAGAGTCCTTTGGGAGCCGCAGCCAGATACTCTGATTCTGTAATCAGAGGTGAGGCTCAGAAATCTGTAATTTTTGTTTCAGCTTCTTGGGTAATTTGGCTGCTTGGCTAGATTAGGGGAACCACTGTCCTAGACACAATGATACACACCTATAATTGGCACTTTCATTAAAAAATAACCTAGACATGTTCTGCACGTAGATACAATAGATTAGTATCTTCAAGCATTGACTATGCTTGAACCTTTCACAACACTGAGGGACGGGGGAGTGGGGAGGATGGGGGGAGCCCTCCACCCTCTAAATTCTAGGAGAGCAGCTAACTGGTTACCTGTGGCCACTGGGAAACAGTATTAACTGGCAAAGGCAGATGGCAGCTATGCATTTTCCTGAACCACAAGAATCGCTTAGCATCTAAGACACCGGACCACAGGATTCAAGGCAGCAGATTCCCTGTGAACCGCACAGCGCCGGGGGAGTCCAGGAAACGGCGCTGTCCTCCGGCCAGCTCACCCCTCCATCGTGGAACGGGGCCCACTTCTCAAGAGCCCTCAGCACCACCAGGGCACAGACGTGCGCCCCGGACAGGCTGCCGGAGTTTTTCTTCCCTGTTAATGTGAACATCAGACTTAAAACCCAAAGCACTGATGAGGGCATTGAACAAACGTAAAAAACTACAATTAAAGAAAGCACTTTGCTCCTTGCCGGCCTCTACCTCTCCTCCCTTAAGTACACGGTTGTTTCCTCTGATAATGATCTCTTTGCAGCAAAGATGGAATTTTAACCAAAAACTGCGCAAACACTCAATTCTCTCAATCTAGAAAAGCAAATACATCCTGTAAAAGGTCTCTCCAGACCAGCCTCCCCAGTCAGGCTGCGCCTGACAAGGCAGCGCCTGAGGCCGTCCGGGAGCGCCCGCGGGCAGGAGCTGCTTCAGGTCTCTGCCCCGGGGCAGGGCTGCACCTCTGGGACAAGGGACAGAAAGTGGGGAGCGAGGCCAGGAGTGCCGCGGC